CAATAAATATAACTTTATCAGATCTAGATAAAAGAATATTAGGAATAATAGGACATGACTACGTAGAAGGACTCGCAAATGTACCAGATAGTTTTCCTGAAGAGCACACTATGAGTGAAGTTGATAAATATCAGGTTGTATTTTTGTTTAAACTCGTGGTTAACAATATTAGCGCTTTAACACGTGATAGGTTTACGTTACATATAAAGTTCGTCCGCGTTGGAGTATGTATACTCCAACATGCTTCTACCATAGCTCTTACTCACTTCAATGCGTTCATTGGATGGTTATATTGTGTGGTTGCAAGTGGTTGTAATCAATCGAAACGTAATCAAATGAAATGATTACAAACGCGTTCTGAATACAGGCCATAATTTTTGTACAAAATGATAAACTGATGAATGTTTACAGAATGCGATAGAAGAGTTAGCTGCAGGAAGTAGAGATATTGAAAATATTGCTCCTACTCCTATAATCATATCGGAATTGAATTACAATGACGTTGGTAAACATTTTTTTTATAACTTCGTAAATATAATAAAATATTTTTTTATTACATTTTTATACTCTTTACATAAAACATCAAATTTAAAAAGAAAATAATATTGACAACATACAATATTATTGTACCTTGTATAAATAATGAATCACTTACCACCGAAGAAAACGTAACAATAGAATTTGTGGAGCCATTGACATCAAGGGATGCAGAACTTGCTATAAGTTAGTACAAAATTAAAATAAAAAAATTGATTCTGTATGTAGCTATATAAGTAATATTTAATTTATATATTTTTTAATTTTCAGACGACACTACTAGACGCAAACAAAAAAGATCAGGTATTAATCGTACGTACAAAATATCTTGTTTTACTAAATATGTCCATCTTAAATATATATATAAAAAAAGCTATTCCTTATAACTTTTGTCTAAAATTTTTTTTCGAAAAGAACTTTTGAGATTTTAAATAAATATTTAAAATAAAAAACATCGTACGTATTATGACATGTAAAGAATGTCAATAAAAAATTTATATACATGCTATTTTTTTAATTTGACAAATTTTAAATTTTTAGATAATAATTCAAAGAGATTAGCTGTACAATTTTCTGACGCTCGAACAAGTTTCGAAAATATAGCAGATAAACATGCGGATGCAATGATAGTTAGTTATTTATATTAATAATGTTGTGATAGTGAAAAAAACTCCATTTTTAACCTTATAAAAAGTGTGACAAATATGCTAATTCTTTTCTAATAATACATTTTTATAGATTTTAGCTAACGCCATGAAATCACAAGCAGACGCAGTAGTAAAAATAAGTGATGTTATTGACAAGATGATTAAAAACGAAGAACGTCAAACACAACTTTTGCAAATGATTTTTCAAGCATTGGAGAAAAATAAATGAAATGTCAATTTAGTCCATATACTCTATATATACTGTTCTCATTTATACATTTTATTTTATGTTTTTATTAATAAAAAGTACAAAATTTTATGTTTTTATATAATATATGTTTTTATATAATGTTTTTATATAATAAAATTTTATGTAATAAAATACAAAAGATAAATTTACGACTTTAAACGTGTTATATTAATCCTGATCCCAAGCACAGCGGTAATTGCGAAACCATTCTAACATAATTTGTTTCTGGATGCGTTGTGCTATGGCTCGAGGCTGTCTGTGGCCCTCCATTCTTTCTTCCAAATTATTCAAATTCATAGGTTCGTTGTTAAGATTTATATTTTCTTCCTCAATATCCATGAATAATCTGTAATGCAGACGCATGTTGTGCAAAACAGCGCATGCGTTAATTATTTGTCCTACGACATCTGGTGCATACATCAGTACACGTTGATATGATAGATATCTCCATACTGCTTTAAATACTCCGAAAAATCTTTCAACAATGCTGCGTGCTTTACACAACTTTTCGTTATACTGATATTGTCGACTCCACTCAGGATAATGTGGCAATGGTGTCATAAACCAAGGTTCAAGTGGATATCCAGCGTCACCTATTCATACATACATATATACATATACATACATATTTAAATAAATGTACATGTATGATCTGTTATTACATAAACATATGATATCAACAATATTGGTGATTTATTCTTACCAATTAAGTATGTCCTTCTTTCACCATGATTATAATGGTATTCCATAGCACGTTTGATTGGAGAAGCATTCCATATGTATGCATCATTTCTAGCTCCAGGATATCGCGCATTAATATTTAATATCTTTAAATCTGGATCAACAATCTTTAAAAAAATTATACAATTGTAACATATCATACATAAATGATGTAAATGAAAATGTATGTATATACATATCTGATATAACACTTTAAAAATTAATATAAAATGTAAAACAAATACAAAAATTATTATAAAGTGTAATACTTACGGCTTGTACATTCAAGGAATGATTTCCATGATGATTCACATATGCTTCTTCGTGTACACGAGGTGCAATGATATTTATGTGAGTACAATCTATGGCTCCTATTGCACCAGGAAATGGTTGCGGAGCTTGTACAAATTTATTCCGTGCAACAATTCTTTCTTCTGCTGTCATTGGGAATTTTATCCATCGACGCAATAAATGTATATATATTTATTAAATATATCACTTTACGTATGCAACGACTTGTAGATGGCTGACTGATAACAAAATTGTAATGATTTCCAACAGGCGTCTGATAACTGCCATTAGCGAGAAAATTTATTGTTACTAAAACTTGTATTTCTGGGGATAAACCATATATACGTTCTCGCTCTAAATGAGGTCTTAATATGTTTGTGAGATCCATTGCAAGTTCTTGATTAATTCTAAAGTACATAAGAAAGACATCATGGGGTAATTCATAAGGATTCTGTGCATCTCGTAATAACCTTCTTTCTATTCCATTAATAATTCTCCTCGCTCTTTCTTGAAGAATAAGCAAATCCCATGCCAAATAAGCTTCTGCCATTATTAGCTATAAAGTACATGAAATCTAAATGCCTGGTCTAACTATAAAGTAAAAAAAATCTAAATACATGAATTAAGAAACTTTATTTAAAAAATGTTAAAAACACAACAAAGAAAGAAATTCAAAGCTAATGAGAATACAGTGTAGAGAGCGTAAATGTTAAAGTCAGAAACTTAATACTCCAAAAATATGTCATTTTTATTCTAACGTTTCAATTCTCTATGGAATTTTCTTCAGCAAAGCAGATACATAAACGTAAATAGCTCCGTAGTCCATCAAAATTTTGTGTATTTAAAGATTGAGAATTTGTCTAATTAACATTGTTTAATTAAAAAAATGTTATTTATAATGTTTTCATATAAAAACATTACCTCTTCAAATTGATTTAATTTATATTCTTTCATAATATAGGATATTATTAAACTGTATGATACAATTCACATTTTATTTTAATTTTCTTACCTGTATGTACTTTTTTATTGCTACAGATTATAATACACTATCCGTATTCGAACTTTAAATTCTCCAACAATGATAAAACTGCTCTCGTTACGATATCGTTATGGTTTATCGAGGGGTCTTGGACCCCTCGATAGTCTAACGACAAAATTCGTTATTTTATCGACACTTCTATCGACATTTGTCGTTTCACAAAAGTTACAGAATACGATTTATCGTTATCGTATCGTTATGACGCGTATCGACGCGTAACGATATTGACAGTGTCGTTACGAAGTTAGAGAATAGCGCTACTGAGCGCCATGTAGACAACAACGCTTATTCGTTAAATTTAACATGCTCTACTGCAAAAACTATTTGTCGGACGCAATTTTGTTAAAGGAAAAAGTTGTTTGTCTTAGCGTAAAGTATTACGTCTTGTACTCCGAGTGCGGGAATTTTGAATCACCCTGTA